CAGATACATTCGTAGGAGAACAAGAGCCGTGAAATTCTTTAGCAGAAGCTTCTGCACAGAATACATGGTCTTTTTTGTCGAATATCTATCCTATCTTCTATGTTACGCGATTCCTCTATTCGAGAAATTAACTAATAATTACGTACTTTTTTAAATAATCTCATTCGCACCGAAGATGTAACGCGTTTCCACTCAATTTTAACGCGGTACTAGTAGATGCAATTGATTGTAACAACTTGCGTAGAACGTTGTGAAACGAGCAACGCGTAGTTACGCATTACGTGATGCATTAGAACGAAACGACTGTCTTTAGGCGATGCACAGTTGAAAGCAGGAAGATAATCGAGACGACGCGACGGAAGCATGTCGGTATTCGGAATCTCATGGTAAAGCTCCTCTTCTGCTTCCTCGTTCGTCTTCTCCTTCTTTATATATTCACTCTTTAGTTTAGAGCAGGCTCTCTTACTTCTTTTCTGGCTGGTCTAATGTCCTAATCTTTCGTGTGCGAAGAATTGGACTGGGCCAAATGAAATTTGCATAATCGTTACTAGCGTACCCTTACGAGGGGTTGTTCCGACGATCCGCTCTGGGCTCTTTTGACTCGAAGGATAGAAGACGGCCGGCATCGCGATTCGCTTGATTGCTAAGGAAAACATTTTAGTTGATATACCAACTTATTATCTCGAAGTGACGAACGAATATAATTTTGCGCAGCATCGGAACTCTGAATCAAAGAGGGTAAAGCGAAACAGACAGACAGACAGACAGAGAAAGAGAGAGAGAGAGAGAGAGAGAGAGAGAGAGAGAGGGAGAGAGAGAGAGAGAGAGAGAGAGAGAGAGAGAGAGAGAGAGAGAGAGAGAGAGAGAGAGAGAGAGAGAGAGAGAGAGAGAGAGAGAGAGAGAGAGAGAGAGAGAGAGAGAGAGAGAGAGAGAGAGAGAGAGAGAGAGAGAGAGAGAGAGAGAGAGAGAGAGAGAGAGAGAGAGAGAGAGAGAGAGAGAGAGAGAGAGAGAGAGAGAGAGAGAGAGAGAGAGAGAGAGAGAGAGAGAGAGAGAGAGAGAGAGAGAGAGAGAGAGAGAGAGAGAGAGAGAGAGAGAGAGAGAGAGAGAGAGAGAGAGAGAGAGAGAGAGAGAGAGAGAGAGAGAGAGAGAGAGAGAGAGAGAGAGAGAGAGAGAGAGAGAGAGAGAGAGAGAGAGAGAGAGAGAGAGAGAGAGAGAGAGAGAGAGAGAGAGAGAGAGAGAGAGAGAGAGAGAGAGAGAGAGAGAGAGAGAGAGAGAGAGAGAGAGAGAGAGAGAGAGAGAGAGAGAGAGAGAGAGAGAGAGAGAGAGAGGGAGAGGCTGACAGGGGGGCAGTAGGGGGAGGGGTTTGTAAAATAAACATTTGGTTGGTTTATTCTTATATTCGGCGCACACGCATTCAATGGAACGCCTCGTCTAGAATTCGATAATAAATCGCAAACGGAATATCGAATACTTTTAATAATCGAATCGTTCGACTCGAATAAAGGGAGAATACTCGGCGACACTCCAACTGTATCTAAATTGTAAATGTCGTTAAACTGTAGCTCTTAGTCGTCGTTAGAGATGCATCGTTGAAGCTACAAGCTGTAGGAGCAATATGGGCGCTGGTAAATTACAAGGGTTTGCATTCAGGCCAACGTTTGCAGCTATCCAGTTACTTTCAATTGGTTAAAGTATCCAAGAATTGCTGCAGTGTCCCCGATCGATCTTTAATAAGCGTCTCCTTCGGATAAGGATCCAGGGTGGTGTATATAGGAGAAGGGCCTTGAAGTTACCGAGGTGTAGGGAAGGAGGAGTATAGGAATAACGTAGAACGCGTTGGCTAGGTCAGGAGGTTCAGAAGCCACCGGAGCCGATAAGGGCTTGCCAGCCATGCCCGTTAACGACTATGTAAATTGACGGGTCTATTTATTCTAGTCATCGTATCGAAACTCCGTCGGATGAAAACATCAGGCTCCAGTTTCTCAGAATCGCACTTCCGTTTGCGCACCATCGAGCAACCGCTTGTTTTACCGGTCTTTTCTAACACATCGTTTCCGATTTATCTCCTTCAACGTTCGGATTAGATGATACGTCTACGAGTAATTATAATTTGCCCCACCTTTCGAGCATTATACTCGTCTTTTTTTTCTAGATCGACGTGATGTACACGTTTTACGTTCGAGTGAAATCGCAAATAACTTTAGTGGCCGCGAAATTGCTTCTTCGACGGATACTCGATAAGAGAGTGGGCTATCATAACGCGCTGTCCGACCATTTTATTGCAATGCTAAAGTAGGTATTGATCCGAATCCAAGAGAATCACGAACTAAGGTGCTCGACGACCATCGATCCGTCGTGGAGAAAGAGGAGGAGGAGGTGAAGGAGAAAGAGGAGGAGGGTAATCATTTTCCGTGTCCTCCTGCTTCTCCTCCTCTTCCGTCGGTTATCCGAATTGGGTTCGAGGGGGTCTCGTAGCAAAGTTGGGGACTAGGAGAGGACACAAACACCTCCTTTCGGGTGTCGAGAAGGAGAAGGGATCGGTAGGCCCCGGGTGGCGCAGAGAAGCGAAGGAGATCGAAGGAAGGAGAAGAGAGACGGAAAGAGAAAACGGTGGAAAGTACGAGACGGAGAGAGAATTGCTTTCTCTCTCAGTTTGGAATGAGAGGATGCATGAGAGACTGCTCCAGACCGTGGAGAGAGCGGAGTGAGGGTGCTGCCTTGGGGTTCATTATTCAGGGCTATTGATTTCCATCCACCTCCTACCATCAGCCCACCCAACACCACCAACGACCAAGAGCAAACGAGAAAGAACAAGCGAGATGGGATCAGAAAGAGATTGACGGGCGGCCGTTCTCTTTCTTTCTTTCTTTCTTTCTTTCTTTCTTTCTTTCTTCCCTTCCCTTCCCTTCCCTTCCCTTTCCTTTCCTTTCCTTTCCTTTCCTTTCCTTTCCTTTCCTTCCCTTTCCTTTCCTTTCCCTACCCTTCCCTTCCCTTCCTTTCCCTTCTCTTCTGTTCCACTCTTTCTGTATCCCCCTATTTGTCTCTTTTGGTTCTCGCTCTCGTTTGCTCTCCTTGACTGTTCTATTCCTACTGCATCAACCTACATACTAACTGACATGCACTTAAACCAGCTACTCTACGTACAAGGAGTAGGAAACTCGTAGCATCAATTGCTATCTTCCACGAGTAATTCGACTATTTCGTTCTGAGAACGGTATATCGATGATATCTTCGATAAAGTAACATTTCCCTTGTGTTATCGGTTTCAATAAGAAAACTATCAATACACAACCGCGTTCCCGCTTGAAATCAATAGAGTTCTTATTTATCTTAATATCTAAATTTCGAAATCCATGAAACTGTCCAAACAGGGAGAAACGCGATTACCCGTTAATATTTATTATTCGATTCATTTGTGACAAAATGATACGAACTTTTCCAGCTAACTACGCTTGCTGTCTTTCGTTTAAATCATACCATTTTTTTGTAATCGTCTGTCGTTGTTAATAAAAGAGAAATCCATCGATACTCGTCCGAAATCTAGAAGATTTTCATTCGTGCTAATATCTACATTTAAAAATCCACGAAAACTCTCGATATCTTTTCGCCGATCCTTCGTCTTGGATTTGTCGATTTCTCTGTCGTCTTCTGTGGAGTTAACAGAGTTAGGCCACAACTTCCGTCGAAACTTTCTACCCGTAACGACGGTCCGAAGGAACTTGCGAGCTTTCTCTTTGAAATCCCTTGCTCGCGGTTTTCCGTCTGTGAGAAATCACCTTAAGGATCATGGGTATCACCGCCAGAGGGATACTCGTACGATCTTTATCCAGCATTCGATTTTTGTGAACACGCGCAAAAGGATATGTAGTTAAGAGCAAGACGATGTGGAAACATCAGGAAAAGTATAATTGATACTAATTGCAAATCGTTCGTTCTTCCTGTTTCGATTTGTTATTTCGATTAAAAAGCAATAAACGTACGGAATATAGCTTTCGTTGGAAATATTCCATTGGAAAAATGCACGAGTTCATAAAGAGCGATGAAACGTTGACAGAATGTTGTTTTAACGATGATTTATGGAGCGTGATCAAGAGTTCTTTAGTAGAGTTTACCTCGCTTTTCATTTTAATTCTACAAACGTCATGTACGTTTTAGAGAGGGACCGTGTGGTTAAGAATAAAAGAATTGTTATACAGGCTTTACGTTGAAATCATTTATGACGTTGATCTATCGTTATCGGTGAAACGGAAACCTTTTCTACGTGCATGATACTGCTGGTTGAATTTTTTCTTGTATATAAAATCAGTAGTCGCAGGTATCGTTTGAAAACGCGTTTAATTTATCACCATCCCATCTTAAAATAGCGTTGGACGTCTCGTTGACTCGTGTTAAAAAATACTTGCTTTTGTTATTTAGCAAGGTGAGAAGTTTGGAATACACGTTTGCGTACGATTGTTTCGTTAAGTTGATAAGAAGTTGCTCGTAAACCAAATCCGTTACTTTCAAACACAACTTGGTGCGATTCGTGTTCGTGAAACGAAGAGATACGTTTGGATAGGAAGGAAAATAAAAATCGGCATGGGGATTATCGTATCAGCCGTATCAACCAATTACTATTCGCATAATATTCACGTGAAATGGGTTTGCTGGTTCTATTCGTTGGTAAGGTTGGTCCGGTGCAATCGTTTGACCTGTTTGACCGTGTCCAACGTTGCGTAACGTAAAACTCCATTAGGTGTTAGCTCCTCCGTTGACGGTTAAACCGTTACTCGGTCTCTGGTCGTAGGTAGAAACGAGTGGAGTGGAGTCGAATCGTCGACGTAGACCAGTGATACATATATGCGACCGGCGGTACACCGGCGCGGCATAGAGAGAGGTATACCGCTGGAGCGGTGGTGTATCTATAGGGATTGCAGCGCCGCAGGCGCCGGCGCGAAACGCTCGCTCGCGAGACCACCTCCGCGTGGTAGGCTCATGACGTCAGCTATCCTCAGTGTGCGGAGAGCGACCGCAGTGTACACCATCTCCACGTTTTGGCAAAGAAGGCAGCACCAGCATCGTTGCTGAGCGAACGAGTTCTCTCACGTCGTACCGATCAGCTGGACGAGCATAGTGTCGTTTGTCACAAACCCCTTGCCTGCCTTCTCGTTCAGGTTGTTTCTCGCCGCGATACAGACTTTGTCGATCACACGCGTGTCAAACACGCGAACTCTGGTCGCGGTGGTAGATCGAGTGCGTCGATTTGAAGCGAAAACAAAAGAGGATCGAGTTTTCTTTGCGCGGCTGACGAACCAGGCTGGCTGGTGTCTTTTCGTTGTTTCGATCGACAAGGTAACGAATCCCTTTCTTGATGAGTACGACGACGCCGTCAACAATCACGGTCGGTAGCCACGCGGTTGACGCTCTCACCGCCGGTACCAGCATCTCCGAAGGGGCTGACACCTAGCACGAGGAGCGTCTGCTGCGGAGCTAGCGGAGGAGGAACGATTCCGGGGGGACCGCCTTCCCTTCCATCGTGATATAGTGCTGTTGTGGTTGTTATTGTTGTTATTATTGATATTTGATGATACACGTGCTCAGGTGTCGCGACTACTGACTACGCGGCTTACAATTTCAGATTGTCTTTTTAACGCGTCGTATAAAGATCTAATTTTACTAGTTGTCCTTCCGGTTTTAAAGTGTCGTCCTATGATCCGAGTGTTTTACGATCCAAGTCGGAGGACGGGAGTATCAACGACGTTCCAACTCCTTTCGAGATCGGCCAAGCGATTTCGAGGTTCGACAGATTTCGTTTAGTCGGGCTGATCGTCTACGCGAGGTCGACGACACGTGGATCCGAATCCGATCGTTCCTAGCTCACGTGGTCGTCGAACTACTACCGGCGACACCCTGATAGTGGCGCTTTAGCGATACTCACGGATGTTCCTCACGTTGAAAAGAGCTGCTCGTGATCAGTTTGAAAGTTGCCGGCTACCTGTGTGCCTGTTGAATTTTTATTGATGTTCTATAGCGACGTTGTAACATCGAACGTGATCCGGTGAGTGCCCGGCCGAGTGAAAAGAACGAAACCAAGAGGAAAGAAAAGCGAGATTTTCCTCGTCGAACGATATTTCCATTCTGCTGTCGAGGAATTGAAACGCGTGTGTGTGTGTTACTTTCATGTCGCGAATAGAAGGAGAGGGATGACGGTGCATCGTCGTTGTGCTGCAGATACCGTCGAAAAGGACGAAGAAGGCTCGTGAATTGCTTAAACGACGATCATCAGTGCTATAACGAGACACTAGTACCGCGTCGTTGTTTACGAGATTCTTCGTAGGATTTTTCGGATCCGCAAACACGCGGAATTAAGCAGGCAGCGTGGAGCGCTCGGCGATCGTGTGGCCGCGCGCCGCGGACCTCTACCTTTACCAACCAGGTAAATCAACGTTCTTTCACGAAACAGACCTTTTCGTCGAATACTCCTCTTTCCAACTCTATTTCGATGTTCCGCGAGAACCGTGCCAGCAAGTATGCCACGACGAGTGTATTTTCTTACGATAGATTTTCTGTCGAGTACGACCTGTGGAAAGCGTACAAATATTTACGAAAGTTTCACTTTTCGAGGATTCTGGGAAAGTTTGCACTTTGCGATAAAATTTAGATCAACGATTATTGGGAACTTTTCTTTTAACTTGCCGTTCGAAAGTTATAATATCCGTAGCGTCGAATTCGAACGAACAATTTATGCGACGAACTGGCATAGAAATCCGCGTCGTCTAAAAATTGCTATTTTTAGTCTCGCAACTAGTTTGTCGAGCAGGTAACAAGCGATCAACCGATTCTGAGGAAAAAACATTGCGATGCACGGTGGCAAGTATACTCTCTCTCTCTCTCTCTCTTTCTTTATGTTTTATATCTTTCCTCTAATGTATTAATACTTGCATCGCTAAATATCAATCGTTGTTTCCCTACAATCGCTCTCTTATCTCACCAGTTTCTATCGCCAAGGATGCTGTTTGTGGGAGTTGTTATAAATTATAAATAAACAGGTGGTAGTAAATAGAAAAGGATACGAAACGTAAAATAGAAATAATTCGTCGTTGGTTAGCTAGAATGTCTTCGGCATTCGTCAGTCCGAACGTCACATTTTTCGCACTCGCAATAAGACGAGAATGCGCAGCTTCCAAAAAGATAGCAAAGAGCTTCTTATGGTATGCCGAGCCATTCTTCAGTGCCTAAGCAACGAGCTTTCGTCGCATCGAGCGAGGGTGCATTCTTGTGCCACTACTGGATCTCCCAAGCATATCCCAAGTATGCTCAATAGGATTCATATCCGGTGACAAAGGGCGTGCTATTTTTCCGTGACGTCGCGCGTACCCTTACTTGCTCTTTTCTCTTCGCGAAACTCATCTTCTGAAACTTGGGAATGTTGCATATTGAATGGATATCCTTAGTACACGATGCCTGTCGTGTCGTATTCTAGGCTATTGCGCGATCGTTCAGTGACGGAATCTTTAAAAATTTAGACGTCGTTCGAACACTTGTAGCCTACGACTCTAGTAGCATGCCAGAATTTATGTGCCAAAGGGAACAGTCTGATCTTAATGGAATCTTTACTATGTTTTATAAAAAGGAACTCTTCAGGTACGCGAATGATAAGTTGATAAGCTTTATTGGTCTGTCCAAATCGGAATCTGCGTAATCTATATCGTCTATACGAAGCGTTACTTTAACGATAGAAAACTTTATGCAATGTTGCATGGTTGTGAACAACTATGATATTAAAAGTTGTGGCTAATGTAATTAACGATTGTTGAAAGATAAAAGTATTTTATCTATATAAAATTATTTAATTAAGGAAGCTCTACGTTGTACGATAAAATATATACTAATCTAAAATATATACTAATTTCTATGCATATCGGACAGTATATTTTTCATCGTAGCGATACACAAGATATTCCCTTCTTTCCAGAAGATGATTCGCGACGCGTAAGTACCGTTTATCCGTGGTTACAACAGATTCTTCCAGAGGAAGCGGTGCCAGAGTCGATCACCGAGGAATCAAATGAGTCGTAGAGGGAGGCGATTAAATTTTTGCGTGTTTGCGGTCGCGCAGTGGGTCTATAGCCGATGCCACTTGAGTTTTGGTTTTGGCAGCGCTTCCAAGAGTGTTTCTCCCTTGTATTTGCAATCGAGGCAGGTTACAGCCTGACCCGAATCTTTAAGCCAGACCACGGTCACGGGATGCCCCGACTAGCAAGCACGTAGTAACCTACACGCCAGGCTGTGCCAGGAGCGTCTTCCTACCTCTCTCTTTATTTCTTTCTTTTCCTTGGCTCCTGCCTAAAACTTTTCCCCTATCCGGTCCCCTTCCCTTTCCTTTGGGTTTCACAGGGATACGCTCCACATAGGACCACAGAGATTCGATATTATACCGGTCGAAACAATATTTGTTATCTGCATCGGATGTAGAAAGGAACTTGCGAAGTAAAGATTCCACCAGCTGAAACTTTTACAACAGCGACAGAAATTTTCTTTCAATTTCTTCTAGCAAACGAGAAAGGTGTACGTTCCGCGAGAAGTATCTGTGAAAATCGTATTCTACTGTACGTAGGTAAAAGGGGTACTATGGTAGAAGTGTTTGATGAAACAAAACCGTTTGATGAAAAAAACGTACTGCGTGTGTGTGTGTGCGCGCGAGAGAGAGAAAAGTATCTCATTGCTAACTGGCTCGATAACAGAATTTGTGCGGTGCTGCGTTTGTCTATTTTTATCTTAATAAATTCCGGTGTAACGCCTGAAGGGGTTCCTTAGTATTCCGGACACATTTCGAACGCGATGTTGGTAAAGAGTCGCACTTGTTGGCGTCCAGGGACACGAAGATGTTGGACGTGGGACACGGAGGAGTCGGCGAAGATTCGGTGGTAGTAGCAGGGTGAGGATCGCACTCGCAGGGACACTGGAAAGCGAAGCGAGTGCGCAGTGGTCAACTCGGATGGTCCCCCGGGAGATTTCTGGACCGCAGTTCTAAATCAGGTTTCATTCCCTCGGCGAGTCTCCGGCGCCTCAACCCCTTCGCCTCGTCGAACCTGGTTCCGATATACCGTACAAAACGAACCAACAGTACGCTACAATTCCTTTTTTCTGCGCCCGGCAATTTTCTCCTACGTGCCGGATAGCATCGAGCGCGTACCCGGAAAATAACCCGAAATGAGAAAATACTCTAACAGCATGAGGTACACGTTCGGAGATAGGAAAGAGGCACTGGTAAATTTCTGCCGTTCCAGTTCAATTTTTCGAAATCGACCGGAGAAGATCGTCGTTGGAGCGAAATGGCGTCTGTCGAAGTATCATATCGTGTGTGAACGTGTTAAGTCGAAGGTAACGAGTCGACGATAGGGGAAGCAGGCTGAAGGGGACGATCGTTCGACCGAGAGATCTGCACTAGGCACATGCATTATCGTAAACGATATCGCCCTCAGCCAGACGCGGGTTACACACATTTACGTCCTTTACGCGCTTGTGTGTGTCGCGTAAGGTGAAACAACCACACGTATTTACTTACGTACTGCGTATGTGGTAGAGAAACTTAGAGAGAGAGAGAGAGACAGATAGACAGAGACAATGACAGAGAGTATACGAAAGGAGTTACACGTTTTGTCATCTAGACCTGTGCAAACAACTTGCTAGGCGCCTTCGAGTACCTATCCATGACCTCGAGAATGAGTATGGATTATTTACATTCTACGCGATTCAAACAACATAACGTCTCGTGCTCTAACTTGTCTACATTGCTACTTTCATGCATTTTTTCATGTTCGATCTTCCAATTTTTATTCTACGTTTAGTCTATGTTGTATAGTTCGACTTGTCAATGGTGAAACTCGTAATTCTTTTGTTTTAATATTGCCAAATAACTACTAAATGAAACGTTAGCGTATAAGAAACAAAAGATACGTATCAAAGATATATATATATGTATATAGTTTTTACTTCTTGAATAGAAGTTTTAAACTTTATTTCTAAATTGATTTTGTGCTTTTAAATATTTTCAAGAAAATGATTTTTACGTTAATATTTTCTCATAATAATCGTTGAAATTTTGCGCGTACGGGAAACGAAGGAGATAATTTTACGAAGATCGGCGTTTGAAATTAAAACAGAAATAGCCTTTGTACCCGTCTTATCTCAACGCCTTTTGCAAATCTACGCGAATCTACGCAAATTTACGATGTGCTTGTTGGCGCGAGTGGCACGAGCGTGCGTATATTTCAGCGCGAAAGTTAGGAACTACTGTCGCCTTTGTACCATTATGGCCAGAATATTACAGAAAAAGATACTCGCCGCTCTCCTCGTATCGTAGCGGTATATGCAACGTAATGGCGACCTATACTGCAACATCTATAAACATAGATCAAGCTCAACAATAAGGCACCGGTAAGCGTATTGACATTTTATACTTCCTAGCAGCCGGTGACTGGTTGCCTGGGCGATCGTTGGAGCGTTACTCGAACCGCAATACCATCAACAGATGGAAGACGTAGCATTTTCTTCGCGATTCTCCGCACGACGAAATGCTAATAGACGTAAACAGATACCGCAGAAACGTTTATGAATCACTACGATCGAAGGAATCGGCCGGGAAACGGCAATTTGATCGCCTTTTACGGAGAAAAAGAATTGTCTTCCTTTTCGCTGAAGCATCTAAAGCAGAAGTCGTTCTTCGTTGCGTTACGTACGATAACGTTGAAAAAGCCGCTTCTTTTCACGACCTGGAAATTTGATGGTCGATGAACGAGTGATCTGTATCACCATCTATTCCGAGATATCGTTGTTTAATTACTGTACCTAGTCGACAAATAAATAGTAGAATAATCAAATTTGTTGGATCGACGGAAGGAGAAGTCTGTAACTAGGAGATTGTTAACCTGATTCTAAAGCGTATGGCTGATATTGGGTTAATACGGTGAAAGTCCTCGGAGAGAACTCCCCTCTGAATTGTGTTACCGGAACAGCGACGTCTGAACGTAACGCCTCGTTCCACTTAGCTGGGTGCGTAACTACGACAAGTAGATACAGTCTGTGTATAGTCAGACGTGACGTGTCGTTCAAACACGTTGCGCCCCTATTATTTTCCTCCACTCCGTACGTTTTACATAAATAGCTTTATTTGCGTATTGTAAACATGTCTTCAAACTCTCACGGTAATAACATTGGAATTGAGCAGGGACATACAGAGTCGTACCACGTGATATTAGCGTCTAATCATTTTTTGTTACATAAATATTTTCACCTTATTTATTTACGTTTCTAGTATGATATTTTGTGTTCAAACGTTGTTTGTATGGACATTTTCTGTTCAAACGTTTGCAAATCATTTTATAAATCTAAAAGCAGTACTATCTTCGTTTGTCCCAAAGATTTCGGTACGTT